GTGTAGTTGGAGTATAGCTGGAATACAGTTGGAGTGTAGTTGGAATATAGTTGGAGTGTAGTTGGAATATAGTTGGAGTGTAGTTGGAATATAGTTGGAGTATAGCTGGAATACAGTTGGAGTGTAGTTGGAATATAGTTGGAGTGTAGTTGGAATATAGTTGGAGTGTAGTTGGAATATAGTTGGAGTGTAGTTGGAATATAGTTGGAGTGTAGTTGGAGTGTACTTGGAGTATAGCTGGAATATAGTTGGAGTGTAGTTGGAGTGTAGTTTGTTATAGTTGGGGTATATTTACACTACAGTATGGATGAAGTGATTGATGGATGGATGATGTTTCTGCTGTGAAATTAAACCTGTAGAGTTCCAAACAGGCTGGATTTTCTCACGTTTTTTTAACCAAAATTCCATTTATTTCCCTTTTTTCCCCTCATAGTTTCTTTGTGCAACAGAAGTTAAAACAGAACGTTTCTGTCTTAGATGCAGGTTTTATGTCAAAGCTGTGATTCAAGAGAAAACCTTTAATGTTTACTGTTAGTTTGATATTTCAGACCTCCCTTCCGAACCGGGTCAGGATGGGTTTTGTTGTTTTATCTGATCTGTTTGTATAAATCAAGTTTGTTTTTTCAGTGCGCAACGATGTCAGAGTGAAGAAATTTTACATTGGTTCCATGGGAATCAGTGACCAGACCTTCGTCCAAGAATACGAAGATCCCAGCAGCAAACAGTTCAGGAGTCTGGCTGAGCAGGTGGACCAGCAGGTGAGCCCCAGAGCATGATGGGAGTTCCCTTTCAGTCAATACACTCGGTACAACACATCATGTATGGGAAACCACGCCCCTGCGTGTCCTGGCTGAAGCCACCTCTAATCACGCCTTTAGGGAGGTGACGTGATGACGACAGATGTCAGGCTCCGTCTACACACATATATATACTGTCCCCATCACAGTCACTCCTTAGTTCTATTGCTCTTCACCTTGCTAGAGCCCCACCTCTTCCAACCTAGCTAGTTAGCTGCTGCAAGTTAGCTTTGTATGTTGGAAGGCTCTTAAAGTTAGCTTAACTGCTTTTGTTGGTGTCGGCCGCCGCTGCCTACAGGTAAGTGTGTCTGCCGGCGGAGCGCTAGCTTTGAGTAGCCTTTCATTTCAACAAAATAGAAAATTTTCTGGTTCGGGATGAGCACAAAATTACCTGAAGGAGCAGAGGTCGTCGGTCGCCCCTGTGGGCGTGGCTTCTTGTCTTGGCTTCAGAGGATTACATCCTCTCTGCGTCCTGCGGTGCAGCGCTCTCCCTGGGCAGAGGGATGGCTTCAACCCTGGTGGCGCAGAGGCATCTGTGGTTGACGCTCTCTGATGTCCCGACAGAGACCGAGCTGCATACCTGGATGAACCAGTTATGGCTGCTGGGTTATTTGGTCGGTCTCTCGACATCATTCAGAMAAAGTTTGATCTGAGGGGAAAGCAGGCTGAAGCCCTGAGCTGTATTGTCCCCAGACGTGACGYGAGACCGAAGACTAGCACACAGAAGCCGGCCGCTCAGTCGCCTCCTGTCAAGAGAGCAGTGCTGCCTGGGAGCCTGAGCACCCAGTCAGTGCAGCCTCAGAACCGCGACCAACCTCCCCGCCATTCAGTTTGGAGCAAGGGTCCCCCTCTGGGTCTTCTGAAGGGCTCAACGCCTCAGAGGAAGAAGACAGTCCTCCTAGCTGTGGGACTGTCACTTCAGGGCCAGGGAGACATGATTGCCTGCTATCGGCTGCTGCCCAAAACGCATCTTGTTTGTTTTGTTCAGGGAACCAGCCCCAAGAGGCGCTGCGTTTCCCTCACACAGTCTCCCAAGCACCAGTCCCACCCCACTCACACAGTGTACGCACTAAAAGCCCCCAGTTTGGGTGCACTAAATGTTCAAAGCACAACTGTTTCTAACGTTTGTGTTATTGTGTCAAAAGTGTCAAAGTATAAACTTTACTCACAAATAAATCCAAAAGCTATGGGCGACAGTCAGRTAATGCTGCGCCTCTCTCATACGACAGAGGGCAGCAGCACATCGCCAACACAAGTTGGTCGCCTAGCGATGCCACTCTCTCTCTGGCGCGCATGCGCACCATCCCCTTGGGTGGAAAGAACTGTTGCCATGGGCTACCGGCTACAGTTTCGCATAAGGCCGCCTCCTTTCAACACCGTGGTAAACAC